TTTTTTTTTTTTTTTTTTTTTTTTTTTTTTTTTTTTTTTTTTTTTTTTTTTTTTTTTTTTTTTAAATTAACGTTGGGGCCGTCTTTATCCTGGAAATACGTCACGAAAACGAGGGATACGATAAAATTAGCAGCATTGTGAGTGACAAAGATGAAATAAAGAAAGACGCATCATAAATTTTCTAAAAATATGATCGTCCACGAGAATGGACCTCAACTCAACTCACCAAAGATTTATACGAAAATATCTCTCCCGCTTGTTTTATTCAATGATAAACGTAAGAAAAAAAAGAAATTATGATAAGCTCTCAAAAATTGAACTTCGAATATCGTGCCGAGAAAAAAATGTGTTCTGAGTATTGTATGAGCGAAGGAAGTGAGCAAACTGAACGAACCTTTGATTTGCATACAATTTGTGTGTAGAAGAATAAATTAGCGGAGAACTTGGTGTCAAAGACAGAGATGAGAGATAAAGAGTTAGTGCGTTTTATTCTAACGTCGGGCTGTTGTCCTAGTGGTGCATGGGTTAGTATGGGTTATCGATGTATTGAGGAGCTATTGAGCTTAAATTCGGGCACCTCTCCTCCGAAACGGTGAGACTTTCACTCTATCTCTCCATCAATCATATTTGTCTAACGACCAGAATTGAAACCGCGACGACGCTTCTCTCCACTAGCTTTTAGGGGCAGGGGTAGGAAAGGTTAATAATTAATACACGCACCATACAGAAATGCGTATTTTACGATAAATGAAAATATGCATTCAACATAAAATATAAAAGTAAGAGATATAAACGCGAAACTCAACAAATCCCTCGGGCATTGTTAGTAGTGTGACTTATTTCTATGTAGATCATGAATATGTTTCTTTCGGCCCTTTTTATTCTCTAGTATTTCTTTACAGCTCTCCCACTTAATAGCTATTTCATCCCTTATCTGGTGACAGGGGGGAATGCCATAACTACATGACGCTCCAGGGAGTTGGTGGGTCTTCATATTTTTGTAACCGAGGCTGACTTGGTGGGGGAGGGGGGCGGGGTCGTCAAGTTCAGCCTCGCGTAACGGTATGTACTGAAATTCAACTTTTTATCTTTAAAGTATTATATGCTGGTCTTCTGATCTTGCTCTTCCTTGTTTCTTACAGGGACTTTTAATAATCGGAAACTATGAAACTATGCCTCCCCCCTTTTATTCATTAAGTAAATTTATTTCAAGGTTTTTTTTGTGAGAAGGGGGGGTTGTTGCGGCAAATGTTGCGTAATTATTTTGGAGATGTCTCGACCAGAGTTGCGAGGGGTGAATGGGCGTCAAAAATCGGAAAATTCGCGTTACGTATTTCATGAACAGACCTTTCGTGGAGAATGGAAAATAGAGGAAGAGGAATCTATACGGATGGATATTTTGCAATGCATTAAGACATCTTCGGGAAAAAAGTCTTTTATTTTGAAATAAATTTGCATATTTCTTGATTTAAATATGGACAAGGTCTTTATATCAAAGCTGCGAATAAATTCATTAAATGCGTGTGTCTTTCATTTAAGCAAATACTCTGGCAACTATTGAGCTAGTGCAAATGCTATCAACCTGTTTTCATTTTTTTCCATCTTTCTCCGCCCTAATACTTTTCTTCTTTCTTTTTATCTTTCTTGACCGAGATAATCGTCAAGCTCCTTTATTCCCCAGTCACCTTATGAGGTATTATAGGTAAAAATGAAGGTATTGATACTCAAGTGGCAAATAAATAAATTAAATGCGTGTGTGTTTTCTTTAGGAAAATACTATTGCAATTTGCTATAGTTCGAATGTTATCAACCTATTTTGAGTTTTTGCCATCTTTCTTCCTCTCTATTCCTTTTTTCCTTTCCTTCTCTCTTTCTTGATCAAGATACTCGTCATGTTCCTCTATACTCCAGTCGCCGACACCCGGGCCCTCAGTTTCGGGTGTGAAGTCCCAAGGTTCGTAAGTGGTCGATGGGGGAGGCTGCACCCACTCGGCCAAGTAGAAGGACACCGCCCATGGTTTGCCCAAGTGGTACTTTCGAGCAAAATCTCTCGGCGAGAAATTTACCCGGTCGTCGTCGCCATCGCTGAAACAGCAGATCAATTGAATCACAATTTTGAACAAATTGAACTTCCATATTATAATAAATTAGACTAATTTTAACAGAGGATTCGACCTATATTGTGATCTGCACCCCAAGATTAGCACACGAATAAAGGGCCCTTGTAAGAATGAAGATAGTTCTTTTAGATTTAAAGACGTCTAATTTCATGAAATGGCAAACAAATCCACATACCTCGCGGTCTGGCCGACTATTGGGTTGTATTGTAATGAGCCGATGACTGGCAGAATAATCGTAGACAAATTATTTGAGGGCACTGTCTTAGCTACATTGCTCTGAGATATCAGATACGATTCTTTTTCTTAACAGAGAGTTTTGGGTTCTCTCCTCCTACCTTACTCACCCCTCACAAAAATCATAATCTCAGTGAACTCCGTTCTTAGTTTAAGAAAGGTGAAAAACTTCAAAAAGTTCGGTAAAAATGCCAATTTGCAATCTTAAATTGGCCTAATTCGTGATCTCACATATTTTGCATTGGTCAAACGAAAAATAATGAGTTTAGAGAACGTTTGTCCGTGGATAGATTGTTTCAAATCAGATGCAAAGATCTTGTCAATAAGTATGGTGCGAACTTTTTAACTTGAGAATTTTGTTATTTTATACGAATCGTTATTGCTCAAATACTACTAATTTACAAGACATGTAGAAAAAAGAACATACTCGGGATATAAATCCGGCTCCTTAAACCTCACTCTTCCTTTCTGCTTGTAGACCAAAAAGATGTACCTGTGCAGGCCTGAAAATGATAAATTTATAAAATTGTGATATTGCATGACACAAAACCAAATTAAGTTAATTTGATTCGATGGACGCCATTTATTGTGTCAAAACGACGCGACATGCGATATATCGCAACGATTGGTTTCATTTTTTCAGCTACTCGTAATTTTTCTCAAATTTTGAGTTCGCAATTCTGTCGTTAGGAAACTAAAGTATTCACTTACCAATTTTGACAAACAAATTCAACTTAATACAAGCGTGGTTTTTTAGAGGAAAAATATCGCATTTGATACTGATATCGAAACTGCATTCGAATGCGATATTTTCCCTCTAAAAAATCACGCCTATATTACGTTGAATTTCTTTGTCAAAATTGGTAAGTGAACTCTTTAGTCACATGAAAACAGAATTGCAATCTCAAAATTCGAGAAAAATGACGAGTAGCTGAAAGAATGGAACCAATTGAAGCGATATATCGCATGTCGTTCTGACTCAAAACGTAGCGTCCATCGAATCACCCTAAGCTATAAATATTATTTTGCGGGATTTGCATCTACAAGAATAAAATGCCTCAACTGCATGCCGTATACATACCAAACCGCAATTGACTGATTTATAGTGACTACGATATTCAATATAATATTGAACTCTTGGTTCAAATCAAAACAAACTAACATACTCGTAACATCATGTACGAATTATTCATGAGTTAATTGTGTTAACTGTGTTACTTGTGTTAATTGTGTTAATTTATCAAAAACTTATTCATTGACCGGTTATAAATCAATGGAAGACGAGAACACACGATTAAACACGAGAACTTTCGATTGTAAGAAACACTTGGACGCATTTTATCACCATGGACAGCATGGCGCAAAGGACGCGAATGGGCGCGAATCAGTAACCAAGTTCTGTGTTTGTTTACATTTAAAGCAAGGGCTCAAATGAAGTAGCCACTAAATTAGTCTATGGCGAACATAGCGAGCGATACCTCCGGTATCGAGAAATTATGAATTTCCAACGATCAAAGCGAGCTGCGCATACCGTCGTGATCGCGCAATGCGTGAAGTATTCCTTTTGTCTTGCAGGCGCTACTATGCATTTGGCGTTAACAGCAGTGTTCGGCGCGACAGTTTTAACCCGCGGAGTCAACGTTTTTCAAGCGGTTACAAACTCACACCCAAAAAAAAATCACAAAATCTGACTAATTTTCCTTTGTTTTTTTACAAGCGGTCATGACCGGTCATAGATCAATTAAAGCCTCATTAAACGCGAGAACATTCGATTGTAAGAAATGCTTGGACGCATTTTACCACCATGGATAGCATGGCACAAAGGACGTGAATGAGAAACAAGGTTCTGTGTTATTATATCGAATGGCGCAGCCACTCAATCAGTCTATAAGACGCGAAAGTTTGACCTTCACGATAAGCGGTTCCGGCGGCACGGTGATCATCGGTGAGGAAGTGATCAGCCAACTCAACTCGTTTGTTTAAGTACAGATACACATTTTCCTCGAATTGTCAGAACGTGGCAGATTACGGACGCGCGTTTAACGAATTAAACGGTAACTGAAAAAAAAATGAAAAAACAGTTTTACCCGTTCCTCTGGCTGGTGCAGGTCCCTGATATCTGGTCATGTGTTCACACTCAAATATATCTGGGAGCGGATACTCATCATTTGAGTCTGGCACGTTTCCTAGCAGCCAATGCAGGTAACAAGATTGCGATCGGTTCTCACGAGAGGGGTAGTCCGCGTCTAAAAAGAGGTGAGATTACAAGAAATATGTGTGTTAAAATGGACTTACTGCAAATTTCAGTTACAGGAAAATGAAAAGTTGTTTCTTACAGGAAATGGCTCAAAAATCGCGATGAATGCACTTGGAAAGTCTGCGAAGCACACTCCCAACTTCACAATCTGTGCATGAAATAATAATATGCGTTTGTGCAAGCTCCTCGTTTCATCCAACCCGTACGCACTCGAATGCTGCGCAGTATTCAACATGACCGAAAAATTGTCTCATCTCACGGGAAAATCATATGACCTTTGAATCGACGTATTTGGGGATCCAAACCCCCCTTAAAAATAGTTTGAAGTGATCCCTGTGATTTCTATTCAAAAGTGCTTACGACTTGGTAAATCCCGGTTTTTTTTCTACAAAAAAAGTAACATATAAATACCTATAAACATCAATGTGTACAGAGTTCCATTTTCAGTGTGCCACTGGAGTTGGAAGGGGAAACAGTCCAAAAGGTTAGGATTAAGGATATTTCCCAGGCCAATTGTACAATTTTTTGCGATATCAGTTGTATAGGTCGCCTGAAAACCATCATTTCTTCAATAATTAATCTTGTTTTTTTATGTTTCATTTTTTCTGAGATACGAGATCACGTAAATTAATCGTAAATGCCCAACGGCGTAGTAGATTCCCTTATGAAAACAAAGGAGTACACCTAAAGCAAAGTAAACATTGCAGTAAACATTGTAATTTGTGCACTGAAAAATAACATGATGATATTTATGCCTGGGAAATAAAATACATATACAAATAAACTAACCTTTATAAAGTGTTCTGGGCATCGTGGTATCACTTCAGGAACGATTTTGTGCTTCTTCAGAGCAGCTGCGATTTCTTCTTTTGGTTTGTCTTGATAAACGGGGACGGTAAAATTTGGATGCTCCCAAAGCCATACTGAATTCACAAGACTTATCAGTACACAGCCTCTGAAATTCCACCATCTAAAAAGGAAAATGGGCAAATGCATCCTGATATACGGATGCAATTTTTTACCCTGGAACTAAAAAATGGAAGCCTCCTTAAAGCACGCACATAGGATGTGGGTGTATGGGATTGTACGCATGACAAAGTCAAATCAGTGTGTGAAATAGCAAAAGTAATGCTGCGTCCTAATACGAATGTAAGAGTAATATTAGCTTTTTTACGACTTCTTCCTGTATTTTAAAGGTATTCCTCTTAAATCTGTTGGTTACAATTTTTTTTCGTTGCATTATTTGAATCACATTGAAAAGAGAAAAGCAATTCTCCAAGAATCGTAAAGTAATCGAACACTTCAGATGGTCAAAAGTTCTAATTTTATGTACGTTATGTTTGTTTTGCTTACCTGTTCTAATAATATTGCGATTGTTGGTAAAAGGTGTGAGAGTATTTCGATTTGAAGTTTGCATTCCACTGTCGAGGGAAAATTCGCTTTTTTGGTTCAAAATATTGTGAGTGGATTTCTCAATCACTATTCATACACCTTATCCAAAATAAAAGTAAAACGAACGATTCGATATGTCAATGGAGAAATGTAGCGCCTTATATAGCAGAGTTTTTATCAAGTGACGTATGGAATATCTCTTTAAATACGTCCTTATCACTTCTTAATGGAGGCCGATTTTTTATCAGTCTAGTCATGCCAAGTTGTTTGAGAAAGGTTAAATCTTGATGCCCAATCGGGTCTCTTTCTTACGCGGCTGTTACTCACGTAGTCCTTAAAGCACCACTACGAATTAAACAAACGCAAACAAACACAACATGGGAATAGAGCAAAGGAAAGGTCACGTATTGACAACGGCGCAGAGATGCAACTATTTCTGTTTGATGGATGTGCGTGTTGCGTCTGCAAAATTGAAGGCGCGAAGGTCGCGAAGCGTAAACTCCCAATGCTCCGCTCTATGTTGCCATTGCAATGAGGTGTGGCTCAGAATCTGGAGAAGAGGTATAAGAGGCAAGGCTCGAACACGTTTCTCATTTTTTCGGCTGTGTTGATTTTTTCTTTTTTCTTTTTTTCCAATTTGACGGCTCATTCTTTTTTTATAATTTATTTGTAGACTTGCATGTAAAGTTTGTAAGTACTTACCGGCACCATACAAGTAGTGCGGCACGTATCTTTAGCAATTCTTGGGTCACTTTGACCCGGTTTGAGCATCGAAGGGATAATGAAACGTGAAACATCTCGTTAACTAGCACAATCAATTGATGATAATTTTCATTGATGGTAAAATAACAAAATTTGCCGTGATTAAAATAATTTCTGGATTTTCTCAGGATAATTGGACCGAATTCATCAGATTGGAACCAACACACAATAAGTTGAAACTGAGGAAAAGAGGTTCGAAGTTTTATTCCTATTTCTTGTTTTCGACTCTCAATTTTTTGAAGGAAAAAATATACGACTGGTGAAACTCAAGAACATTTTAACTCAATTTTTTCAAAAATCTGGGTTGGTTCCTGCCTGATAAACTCAGTCCAATTAAGGTATATGATTTTTTAGAACATATTAAAATAAAGAACTACTTGCATTGACATATTTTTTAAGATTTGTGCTTTTAATTTTACAAGAAACTGATTGCAAGTAAATTGATTAATTAAATTTTCTGTTTAATTTACATATTTAATTGACATTTTCTAGTGTAAAAATCCAAATTTTTAGAACCTCTAGATTTTGCCTTCAAAATAAAATAATTTTTTTAATAGCTGCGCTTAGCTGCATTGCTAGCTGGTGATTAGTTTTATTTTTATTAGTTATACTAGCGTATGGCGCTCAGTAGCACGAAAACTATATTTATCGTCTTCTAAAAATCCTTGTTGCCCCCATCTACACGGACCTTGAAATAGTGCCCTGTAAAAGTCCAGTTAAAAAACTTACGTCACCTTTGACCAAAAACTTACATGGAAACTTCCATTGGAGAAAAAGGAAACATTGACCCTATTTTAAATAAATATTCATGGCTACTTGGTAAGAACTCCAAGCTCTCCCCTTCCAACAAACTCTTGATCTATAAAACCATTATAGTCCCGTTTGACTGAACTGTTCCCAGCTCTAGGGAGCTGCAAAAAGGTCCAACCTCAAAATAATTCAAGTAGCTTCATCAGGACAAGTATGTTCTCCGTTCTTACATATATGTTTACTTAGACGTACTCCACGGTTCCGTGAACCTACCGAAGGTGGATGACGGCAAACCGAAAATGATTCATCTTTACGTAAACCGACTTTTTAACCATACTTATTCCCATGTTCTCTTTTAAATCAAGAATTTACACACATCTAGACCTAAATGAACCCATATACTACACATTTTTTACGCTCATGACAATGACCCTACATTACTCTACTCACAAACTTAGCTGACATGACTTAAACAGTTCTTTCCGACGATAACAATCCATCCATGCTATAATACTTGCTTTATGACATCTATCAAAATACCCTTCGATACCTTAATTTACTTAAATTTAAATCGTGTGTTTTAGTGTAGTTTTTCATGTCACTGCTCGGTGACATATCTACTGGGCTCTCGCTCCAACCCCGTCTACAGCATTCAACCAATCAATGAAGTTGATAGGCAATTATTAGTTTACAACAACAGAAAATGCCAGCAGTGGTTTCTAATTTATTGCAAAATGTAACTGAATGGATGACGTATAAATTTCAATAAATTAATTACTTTAAAAAGTGTTGGCATCATACTTTGCTCAGTTCAAGTATCAAATTAAGAGAAAATGTAGGAAATTTGACCTGATACAATTTTTTACATTGTGGAAAACAGAAAATGAATTGATTTTATGCTTATGTCAAGATAATATCTACATATATATGTACATTTGCTTGTAACAGTTCATTACTGTATGATTGACCGAATTCAGGTCCAAGTAATTGTCTCGCTGGCTCCGTGCGATGCGCTGAAAAATATTCAGGACACTGATACGAAGAATTTTGCATTTAAAATGTAATCATCCTGAACTCATGGTAGAGGTTACATAGTGCTCATCCCATTTCATCTGGAAAAACGTGACAGCGAGCGGTGCCCCCAGATCATATTTTTGAGCAAAATGTGAGATATTGAATTTTTTCCTTCCTTCGTTGTTAGGTCTGAAAAATTAAGTTTTTCATTTAGCGGATGAAATTTGCTGAAAATGCCCCTTAAAAGGAGTTTATATGAACATGTCTCAACAGAAATGGAGATGAATAGATAAGAAGATATATTTTCAATCATGCAATTAATTGGTGATACTGGTGCTCTAAATATTAGTGATTATCTCTGCATTTCAAAGCACAATAATTGTTTGTGAACTTGACAATGGGACAAATTGTAATCTTTTGGTGAAAAGATAATCTTTTGGTGTCGAAGTATAGCAAAACTCCCTAAAATTGGAGTAAATTGCCTGTCTCTCCATTTGCCTCCCAGATTTACAACTATCCTGTTGTACTCTCAGACAAAATCTTAGTGCAGATAGAATTGATATCTTATAGTTTCTAGAGGCTTGAATTTTTGATAGCCAGTTCTTAACATAAATATTTCAAGTTGGATACTTACTTTTTGGAATTCGATAGTTCACCTTCAAAATTTATGACACCCTTTGGTTGCTGGAAGACAGTAAACACGTACCTGTGAACGCCTTCAAACGAAAAAACAGAAAGACATGCAGGTAATGTTACGAGACTCAAAAGTGACGCAAAAATGCATTCATTTGATCAAAACAAGAAACTTTTTAGGCCTAATATCTTTAAGACAAAAAATATGTGGCGCAAGACATACTTATTTCTGGTCTGTCATTCTGTATTTTGATCAACATTTTGGACAGATCAGAAGTAAGAAATTATACACTGCAATAATGGTCAAGAAGGTCAATGGTCAATGATCTATACAAAGTAAGAATTTCAGAAATTTGTAAGAATGTATAATACGATTTATTCAACGAGACTTACTGAAATTAAATCCCTACCAAGATTAACGGTTTTATTTAAGATTGTTTTTGAAAAATTTGAATTTGCCGCTCTCATGACGCACTGGAGTCTACTTAAATCAAATCGACTCAATGGTTTGGGCAGGCTTCTGCTTTTTGGTGCAGTATGCTCCTTCCCTGTCTTGTATTGGTTAAAGTGCAAACAATGTAGAAAAGCTGACAACGAGTCAAAATGCCGAGAGTAAGGTTGCCATATTTTCATAACTACTACAGACACTGCCATGGTAACGTTTAAGTGTGCAATTTAAATCAATATTTTTTTCTTTCTTTCTTTGCACCGCTTTAAAATAAAATTATTCTACTACTACTATACTACTACTACTTTCTTTCTTTTTTTATGGCCTTAGATGCTAGAGCACCACTTTAAAATAAAATTATTTTACTACTACTACTACTTTCTTTCTTTCTTTATGCGCTCCACTAATCTCAAAATTTAACCTTTCCACTCAACCCTTTTGTATTTTTACCGATGTAACCTTAATTTCCATGTAAATTTATTACTATTACTGCCTTCTTTAGAGGTGTAAATGGCCTTAGATGCTAAAGCACCGCTTTAAAATAAAATTATTTTACTACTATACTACTACTTCTTTCTTTAAGTGTGTTTGAATTGACGCCTCGAAAAACGTCGATATCCTCGTTAGAAGTTCCGTTTCGTAATTTTCGATGTAAAAATCTACTCTCTCTAAGATAATTAAAGGTATGCGTACTTTCAGGTTCATTTCCCAAGCTCTCTCAATCTTGTAAGACCCTAAAAATAATGTCGCGGTCTGAAGCTTGCATAATTTTGCTTTGCAGCCTGCATCTTCGAACATTTCGGTAACAATTGACCCTCGTTTGTCGTTATTTTTTACAATTAGTCCACAACAAAAGTGTTACACAATTAGATCAACAGATATTGTGATGTATTTTGATTGTTACCTGTGTCTTTTTCTGGCAGAGGAGCGTAATAAGGAATGATTTCCGCTCCTAGAGATACAGCAACCCCTGGAATGTTGCCAACCAAATAATGCAAAAATTCGCGGTCTACTGGTTTTGTTCGATTTGGTGAGTCCGGATCTGAATTTGAAAAATCATAGATTTAAATTATTCTCAACTACGTTTCATAACAAATGGAGGATGAAAAATTAGAACAAACACAACTTCAAACCCTCGTTTGTAAATTAAAACAAAACAACATGAGGGGTGTGAAGGTAGAAGGCTTATTACACTTATGTTATTCAACCGACTACTATTGTCACGAGTAAGAAAATTATGAAAACATTAATTATAAGAAAAATTTTCTGATGAATTTTTCAAAGTAATTTTAATATAAGAGTGAGTATATACTGCGTAATTTGGTTTTTTTTTTCGTGGAATAAAAATACATGAAAAATTTGAATGTTTTCTGTTAATATTTAAAACTTTTAAATTAACTAGGAAAATTATTTACACTGTTTTCAGAGTCTGTGTGTATTTTGCTGAACGAACATTTGATACTGAAACATCTTTGAACGAACATTTTGATACTGAAACATCTTTGAAAATTTTAATTTACCAATTAAAGCGAGAAAGTAGTAGCCTTTTTCATGCGCCGGATAAGATACTTGAATTGGAGGAAGCATGACCTGGCTTGGAGTCAGTTTTTCAGCCGGTTTCAATGAAAAGCCATGATGGAACGTAACCTGGAGAGCAAAGTCACTTAAATTTAATCGATTTTTTTCTAAAGGAAATTTTTAGTGGAAAATATGCTTCCTTCTTTCCATTATTGGAGCACCTATGTTGAGTTTTTGAAGTATCCCCTCTCGATCGCTCAGCAAAGGGTAAAGAAAGAATGAATACTATGGAATGAAAAAAAGTCACCCCAGAAACCAGTTTTAATGTTAACGCCTTAATCATTCGTAAAATGGCGTCGCCTTGTTTTCGGTGAGGGCTGCTCCTACCTAATCGGGCAGAGCCGAACCCCTATCCGCACAGATCTGGAAGTTCTGGCACTTACCTAAAATAATGTAACGGTATTTGAACTACGTATTTAGAAATTATAACAAAACGGATTTACATATTTTCCTCCAATGTTACTCATGGTGATAATTGTTTTATACTCATTTTTTTTTTTCAAATACACAGTGACTTCTCATCTCTAAAACGATAACTCAAGGGATCGTCCGATTTCCGCGGCATGGACAAGTTCTCGTCATGACATTAGTTAATCAGAAAAAGACAAATTAACTCCAACATGAATGACTTAATAGCCTAAGACACCATTCAGGGCTGCCAAATTTCTATCTTAGGAATCTCTCCCTTGATCCTTGCATTGCGGGTTCACAGTGCGCCCTGTTCGGAAATGGTGTTCACCGCGGGTCGGCCCGCGGAGAAGTTACGAATTTTCAACGATCAAAATGCGCACCGTAGTAAACGCGCAATGCTTGAAGTATTACTGCAGTCTTGTAGGCGCTAAACGCGTCCCGCGCCAACCACACTGTTTGGCGCAATGCGTAAAGTATTCCTGCAGTCTTGTAGGCGCTAACGTTAACGCGGCGTTCCGCGCCGACCGCATTGTGTTTGCACAACGCTTGTACATAAACAGAAGAAAATTAGTTCGATTCATTTTTTTGTATCCTTATTTTAAATTACAGAACTCCATACTTAGTGTGCAAAAACTTAATGACAGTAACACTTTGAAAAATGCGCGATCGGTTTAAAGGGCAGAGTCAGCATTTTTCAAAGTGTTACCGTCATTAAGTTTTTGCACACTAAGTATGGAGTTCTGTAATTTAAAATAAGGATACAAAAAAATGAATCGAACAAATTTTCATCTGTTTATGTACAAGCGTTCAACATAATGCCTGCAGTTCTTGTTAGACTGCACTCATGCGTCAACCGTAAACTCGTAAACAACAGCAATAGTCATTGCTCACGCTCTTTAGAAGGCAGGTTCCTAGGTACGAACCTACACTTTGACATATGAGCCATGCTACCGTGATACCGAAGAGAGCCATAACTTTCAAATTTTCGAACGCAAGTTTCCTTCAAAATTTCTCTAAATTCTTTTAGATGATAATCACTGAAATAGCCAAAACAGCATTTTTTTTCCTTATTATAAATTGAGACATATGAGAACATCGCAAGTGCGCGTAGTTTTAGACAAAACAGCCGCAAGGACCACCATTATTCCTCCAGAGAACAAGTGAAATCAAATTTTCAAGTGACAATGCCCCCTTTCCTGCCAATTTTTAACCAGAAAATTAGTTTTTTGTGAGTCAAACGCAACCACAAAAGCTTGCAGGGATAGCAGTTGCAGTTGTCTTGCCTAACACTGGCCTAACATGAAAATGAATAATACCTTTTTTATATCGTGGAAATTAAATTGGTCGACTTTCAATCCAAACGATCCTTTACGATCCAACGAGTCTTTTGAAAGATTGGTGGGAATTTGACAAAGAACTGAGGCTGCTTTCAATAAAATTTTCCACTTAGACGCTGGTGAGCCCATTTTCTCAAAACTTTACTTTTAGTCTGCGTGAGGAATTTGCGTTTTTTTAGCTCCCCGCTCCAAAAACGATACCACGGCACAGGTGATCATTTCAATAGAGAAGTCGTTCTATCCAACCTCTTTGTACTAAGATACTACACAATATTCAACGTAGCCGACACCAATCCTCCAAAACACATGTGCCTGGACGAGATTCTGATCTTTTGTTAACAATCCAGCGTGTTCACATTCGCGATTTCTTTGCGTTGATAAAGATCCGCTTTGGTTGACCTTGTGCTCCTTATTGCAATTTGCGCTCGGAAGCGTCGTTTGTTTGGGTATTGCTATTGCAAAAGGGTTGAATGGAATGACTCCTCTAACGAAATGTTCACCTGTGCCATAGTATCATTTTCGAAGCGGGAAGCTAACAAAAACGATATTGTGAAGTTAGGAGTGCATTTCAAACTTTGCCAATGGGCTCATCGTGATTTTTGAGACATTTACTGATAGCAACAATCCTTATTTTTGCTCCAGCAAAAGTTTGCAACAGGCCCATCACAATACGACGGTGAAACTACCAAACCACGTATCTAGTTTGCGGTGTTTAAAAATCTATGCTCACATTTTATTTTTTTGAAGTCGACCAAATCAATATCATTCCTTGAAAGAATTTTCACCGCACGAAGAGAAAAAATCACAGAAATTTTCAAGACTGGACGTTAAGTAGTTCTCATTTAAAAAATAAAGTATGACAGGAAGTCTGCGACGTCGCAAACCGAGATACGTGGTTTGGTAGTTTCACCGTCGAATACAATTTAATTCAGGGAACCAATTAACCGATTTCCTCGCGATAGAGAGGTTCTCGTTATAACGGAGGTCATTGAAGAGAGGAAACTACTGAAAATGTATTTTGTCTCCTTTAATTATATCATTCTTGCATTGGCCTTTGCAACAATTCATGCAAATAATTCATGCAGCAATGATTACCTGAATTTCATGAGGAGGTGCCTCCTTTATCACCTCAGGAACCACGCCATGTATAGTTAACTGGGATTTGAGGAAGCTACATTTCTCAATATCGGCTAAAATAAGACTTCTTTTCAAAACTATACTTATTAAAACGACGAAAATCGTCGTTATATATTTTGAAAATCTTAATGTACAGTCTGGAACAGTCTTCATGGTATTTTGTGGTTTAATTTGAATGAGTTTTACCTGTAAAACACAAGCAACTTAATAAGACAGCCCATTGATACATCTTAAGGAGTACATGAATCTACGCAATGTGTATTGTATACATATATCAGATCATTCTATTGCATATCTTTTAATCGTAAATCATGTATCAAATATAAACTGATCTGCAAACATATTTACTATTAGGAGAGTAGGTATTTCAGCTCTGAATCAAAAAGTTCATAATATGTACGATGAATTTTGAACTCAGGTATTCAATTGATTAGATTCATCGTTTTTCGGGTGAATTAAATTAAAACAAGAAATATAACTTGAGAAGAAAAAATCTTACTCTATAGTATAAAATCATAAGTGTGCCGTGTCACGCTGTCACGCTGAGGGTGTATAACGCTAATCATGTCACAAACCGGTTTCTCCTCCACTCCCCGCTCCCCTCCCGCCGCGCACGCTCACATGCTTCCCGCCGTCTCGACCGGGTTTTCCCTAACTCTTAATGATATTTTAACGATCTCACGATATCTGCNAATTTTCACCGCACGAAGAGAAAAAATCACAGAAATTTTCAAGACTGGACGTTAAGTAGTTCTCATTTAAAAAATAAAGTATGACAGGAAGTCTGCGACGTCGCAAACCGAGATACGTGGTTTGGTAGTTTCACCGTCGAATACAATTTAATTCAGGGAACCAATTAACCGATTTCCTCGCGATAGAGAGGTTCTCGTTATAACGGAGGTCATTGAAGAGAGGAAACTACTGAAAATGTATTTTGTCTCCTTTAATTATATCATTCTTGCATTGGCCTTTGCAACAATTCATGCAAATAATTCATGCAGCAATGATTACCTGAATTTCATGAGGAGGTGCCTCCTTTATCACCTCAGGAACCACGCCATGTATAGTTAACTGAGATTTGAGGAAGCTACATTTCTCAATATCGGCTAAAATAAGACTTCTTTTCAAAACTGTACTTATTAAAACGAAGAAAATCGTCGTTATATATTTTGAAAATCTTAATGTACAGTCTGGAACAGTCTTCATGGTATTTTGTGGTTTAATTTGAATGAGTTTTACCTGTAAAACACAAGCAACTTAATAAGACAGCCCATCGATACATCTTAAGGAGTACATGAATCTACGCAATGTGTATTGTATATATCAGATCATACTATTGCATATCTTTTAATCGTAAATCATGTATCAAATATAAACTGATCTGCAAACATATTTACTATTAGGAGTGTAGGTATTTCAGCTCTGAATCAAAAAGTTCATAATATATACGATGAATTTTGAACTCAGGTATTCAATTGATCAGATTCATCGTTTTTCGGGTGAATTAAATTAAAACAAGAAATATAACTTAAGAAGAAAAAATCTTACTCTATAGTATAAAATCATAACTGTGCCGTGTCACGCTGTCACGCTGAGGGTGTATAACGCTCATCATGTCACAAACCGGTTTCTCCTCCACTCCCCGCTCCCCTCCCGCCGCGCACGCTCACATGCTTCCCGCCGTCTCCAAACCGGGTTTTCCCTAACTCTTAATGATATTTTAACGATCTCACGATATCTGCACATTAGAGGCGCTTCTCTGGGGGGTTGGACCGCGGAGCGGCCAGGAGGCGTAGCCTGTAGCCCCCTAGTGATAATATATTTTGGGACGACAAGAATTATATTGGCCTGCTGATCATCTTTCTTTCTTTCTTTCTTTTAATGTGTAACCATTTCATAATATTCACAAGAAAAATGCTAGAGATTTTATAGTGAATTTCTTAATAATTCTATTCATCTTGATATAATTCTTTTAATAGGAAACAAAGGTATAATGAGATTCATTCTTAATTACCATCGTATTAAAATGAATTTTTCCAAAAACAAAAAAAAAAAATAGATTCTAAAATTTATAATGAAGTGAAATTATTTGTAGAATTAAAATTGATAAAATGTTTACAATACCTGTTTGAAATTTTTAAGCTCAAGTTACCATGGTGTTGACTCCGATGGGGCTCACTCATGAATTCTAACACCGGGAAATCATTTTTCAAACTTAAGGAGGCATATTGACTACCGGATTTGATTTTGTACAAAATTACTTCCTCATCATAAACAGCACAGGAATTAAGAAAAAAAGAATACAATTCACTAAATCTCTGTCCCAATACATTCCCAAAAGAATCCTAACAAGAGGAAACGCTCATGTTATCAACCTTACACACGTTTTGATTGACTACCGGATGTTATGAAACTCTTTCCCGATGCCTTAAATTAACCAATTACAACCGCACAAGTCATGCCGTCAAGTCGGTCGATGTCAAATTGGATGTAAAGAGGCAGATTAATTAGAATCTTGATAAGTATGACGACTCTCTTTGAATGAATGGCATTCACCTATACCAGTGCACCATATATTGCTGTGGATGGACATACAAAAATTGCCTTTGTTGTTTTCAAAAGTTAGGACATATTTTACGTCCATTTGAGGATTAAAACTTATTAATATTACTAATTAATACTTGTAAAAAGCAAGGGCACGTAAACATTACGACCATGAGGTAAAATGGTACGATATAAATTATGTCCTCTGAGAAAGAATGAATTACCTTGTAATAAAACACACTTGTCGGTTTTCAACGAAGAATTGTTTAGCGTAAAATATTGTAATGTTTGTAAAATAAATTATTTAAAACTGCATGTCACGACTAACTTAATTTATGTCAGAATGGGAAAAGCGTAACACTGAGTGAAATTACATTCGATTTTCTAACGGTAGAGTTTAAATTTAATAGAGACCATTAAATTAATTAAACATATGCATTTACTCTTTCATCGAAAACTCACAAAAATCATGTCACTTGCTGTTGACATAATTTATAATTTAACCTTAGTAGTATGATTTATCAGCTTCTTGAATTCCTCGTCGACATAGTCGTAAAAAAGATCCTCTGTTGTTGAAGTTATTGGTTTGGACAAATTTTGCACCATATTTTGCGTCCAGTGGGCCATGAAAAAGTTTGCTGCAACTGGTCCAGTTAAATTATATCTTTTCGCAAAATTTGTCGACGAAAAATTCGACCGTTTTTTGTCATCATGCCTACAAATCAGCGAAGAGCAACATTAAAACATTGAGAAACATATTCACGAGGTGAAGAGATATAAGGAGCCACTGCGACTAAAAATCAGAATTTTCCTTTTTTGACAAAACTTCTTTGGTATATTTTTCCTTCTTGCGCATTTGTCTATGGAATATGGTCTATGGTCCGCGCAAAAAGGAAATTTCCTACAGAACAACTCAGGCCAATCGGATAGAAATATCAAGTATTGAGGAAAATTTCTCACCGACATCCCATGGATTAACCTGCGAGCAGTATAGTTCATTATAAATCCTATAGAAGTTGTGGAGTCGCCTTCATATCCGGCAATATCGCACTTTAGTCCCAGTACATTATAAATTGGCTTTTTCTCGGAACGACGTATTTCGAACTGTAAGCTCCAAATTAACATTATATCAGTTTGATTTGAAATTATTGGACATTTTCTGCTCCATAGTCCTCGCAAAATACTCTTCTGTGATCTGATATTAATAACTCCATTTTGATTTTTTGTGTTTTGAGGATCCTTTCCCCGTGGACGCTCTTATACACGTACAAAAAAAATTGGAGAAAGGAGTTAAATATTATCCTGACTCATGCTTTCAAGAAAAATGAGAGTAACACTCACACGGGTGGAAGACGATCCTCCTCAAACCTAATAAAGTCTGTGCTAGGCTGCTTGTATACAAGGAACACCATCCTGTGGACACCTGTTCCAAATTAAAGGTTTTATTGTTTGCATTCACCTACTCAAAAGTAAACATTTTGGGAATTCGTTCAATTTGTGTCGGTTGAGTTCGAATAAAATGATTATTAGTGTGTGATTCTATCTTTACTGCATGTCAAATTTAACGCATTCTTCAACAAGCGTTGCATCGATGCGCTGTGAAGGTGTTTCCCCGTTCTTTCGATGCCGCAATATTTCTTTAATGAACTGCGTTTTTGGGATAGAATTTCGAGTTTCCCTGAATCATTCTTCAATCTGATTATATAAAATACTGCACAGTGCTTTAGTGCATAGGTCGGGAAAATCGTGCTTTGAATCGACGAATACCTAAGTATTTTCAAATTTATTTTGAAAATAGGTTCCTAAAGACGCACACGTAAAAATATCTATGATTTTTTTTTTTTTTTTTTTTTTTTTTTTTTTTCACTGTTAATTTTTAGATTGGACCACAAAAAGTGATTATCAGAGGTCTCCCTCCAATTCAAAGATGAGTGCACTGTTACGTGAGAATAAACTTCCAAAACCCGTTCGCAATAATTCAAATCAGAAGGAACATGAAAAAAATGCTAATTCTACGGATTTGGCGAGCAGTAAAAGTCCCTAGAGACCCTTTTCACCCATTCGCTGGCTGGAGAGGTTTAGTTTTAGAACCTTTGAGGAGATGAATAAAGACACCGATAGTCCTCAGAAAGCTGGAAGTACATTGGAAAATATTAATGACGTAATTTAATATGTACTGACCATTCATGTGTTCAGGTATAGGTCCGACATAGTCTACAATTATTTCACCGGTGTGCCAGTTATCCTCATAAATATTGCCAACTAGCCAATGCAGATACTCTCGTTTAGTTGGATTCTCCCTTGTAGGAACATCCGGATCTGTTCAATATAATGACGAGCTTTAATGATAAAATCAAGATATTCTGGCTATCTTCTTGTAAAAATTTACCTGGCCGAAACTTCGATCAATTGAAGGAAATTAAGTTGTGTTATTGAATGATACTTGACTACTATCTCATACATGGTCATATCACGAAAAAAATATCCTGATGTTCAATGTTTTTAAAGCAGAAATGTAGATTTTTACTCACTGCGTAACTTGTATTTGATTGTTTGACATTATAAGATCCTTTCGTCAAGTTTTTCTCTTGTTTTTTTCCTATCATTCCAATCGTAAGTTTGGTCATAGGTTTTTGGAAATTTTTAAATAATGTCTGGATTAAATGAATTGCAATGGAGCCGATTATATGTGATTGATGCAACAATTTGCGAGTTCCTTCCTATCGCGTACTCTTCCGAGGAAATTTCCCGGAAATGACTTTTCTTTTTTTTTACTTTACTTATTATTACTTTACTTATTACCTGTCATTATAACAACATAGATAGCATCAGTTTCATGAGCGTGCCTAACAAATCTAGGAAATTCCACTACGTCATTTGCAACCATATTGCACCCTGTCGTTAAATTTGCAGTTGACCACAGCACCTATGAAATGATAGAAAACAGCTTAGTTTTGACAATAGTATTTTCGGTATGTTTGGTATGAATTGTTTAGTAATGGGGCTGAATCTCAAGCTCTTTTGTACAAATGAGGGGGAAAAGTCCATTCAGTTCTACCAGAAGCCAGAGGGCGCCCGTATTTTATTGTGATATACAGAGTAGTCCATCGATATTGCATTCGTCTCTTGTATTTTATATCTAGAAAGGTTGAATGAGAGCATCAAGTATTTATTATTTCAAATACTCCCCTTCCTCCCCCGGTCTAACGTTCTTATCTCATTAGTTTGTCGGTCACGTGAATTAGGAGTCCCATAAAAAGCCGAGTTTGGAACCATATGGTTTCTGAAAGATCAAATAAGCCAAAATGCAAAATTCTGAGCTGAGTGGAGAAGTATGTTCCGTTTCAACCAATTAAACGAAAGGCGATTACCCTTTGATTTTGGTGTAATAGATACAATATTTTTTTAGTCAATCTTAAGGCGAGAATTTACCTTCGGACGTTTTGGTATTATTTGCGCATGATTACATTATTGAATCTATGACATTGCGACAATTGATTGTTGACTCATATGTTTTTAAAGTATTAAAAAAGTATATTATTTTGAACAACCACAGAAAAGAGCCAAAGTCCTTTAAATTTAAACACTCGAATATTTCCCAATCTGAGGCTTTTGCTTAGAATTGGATCTGACAGGGGTACTTCTCGGAAAATTGGCTGCACTGAGAAAAAGCTATATGGATTATAAACCAATTAGTGGTTCATATGGAACACCACTAATAGTAGTAAAGGCAAAATATAATAATAGCACATTATACGTTAGTGATTACCTTATTATGGTTCACAGACCGAGAATCGTTAGTTCATTCACGACTGTTAGTGGTGTTCCGTTTGAACCACTAATTGGTTTGTAAGCCATATATTTTTCTCCGTGAGCCCCCCCCCCCTCCATCTGTGCTTAAGAAAGTGTCTCTCCAGAGCTCCTCTCTCATGATGTCTTTGGATCAGCCACTGGGTATTCTTTGCAATAAATTATAATCTTTCTTAAGCTATTTACCTTTGGATCGTACCTCAGCTCTTTCACCAGGACAGTCTTTGATGGGAATAACATCTGGACAAATGCGTTTTTCTTTCAAAACTGCTATGTTATACTCAGGACCCTGGCAAATTGCTATCGGAAACATGGAAAAGAAGATGATAGGAACAAAATGATGGCTCATCGTGTTAATTCCTTAGAAATAGGATTCTATCTTGATCAGCACTCCAATCAGTATGCCAGCCGAGGAACCGAAGGATTGAGCCGTTTGTCCTCGACAATGTAGAATCCTATCCACATTTCGCTCTCTAAATATTTGGGCATTTTTTCAATTCATAAAAATCATTATTAGTTGTTCATATCTGTCAAAAGGTAAAGGCAGAACTAGAAAAAAGCACAGGAGCGTAAATTAACACTTTCAAATGGATCTGCTGTACACAAAAGAAACATTGAACTCAGTCTTGAGCGATAAAACCGCTCAAACATCACTCTGATGAGTACGAAAGACCTTATGGACATATCTACGCACAGTTTGCGTAATACTTATTACACATTTTTAAATTTACCGCGTCTACGGGCACTCTTCTAGTCACCAACAATCAAGTTTGCCCAATGCACAAACCTATATATAAACAAAGCACCTCGAAAACTGTTTCTCACAATACTCCTCAGTGTAGAGGCTTGACAAACAGAGTACTGGCTTAATATAGTCAAAATGGAGGAGTAAGAGGAATTAATCTGTTTTATTACGTATAATTAATTGGAAGTACCTTACCAGTCTCGCCGTTATTAACATGAATTCACTTTTTACTCCACCCACACTTCAAAATTGATTTGGCACGGATAAAACTTTAGCAGTCACTTATGGGCGCACCCTTCTTATGATGTGTTGCGCCCTTATTTCACTTGTTTTTGAGCTCGCCCACTCGGGAGAGCTCTTTGCGATCGATTTCTTTTAGCATTGGTAGTGTCCGTGGCGACAAATGGATGGTTCTCGTTGCCGTCGGAGGAACGGCCAAAATCCCATTGATTTCAAGGTCTAAAAGTTGAATTTTCGCGGGTTACAGTTTTCCTCCGTCGAACATTTCCGTTCCCTCATTCAACTGAGGATTAATTGTTCCTCGTTTGCTACACTAGAGAGCAGCACTTTCCAGTGGCCGAGTATATCATAGCATGTTGCTATGGTTTTATAGCAAATTACCTAATTGTATGTTATCATCCTCTTATCTTTTCAATGCAGTTTTTGTGTGCAGTTGTACTTGCAATTGTTATTATTTCTTAAAATAAAAAACATGGTGACCTCGACGTGATTTAATAATTTGTTCAATTAATTTTAAGTTACTAAGACTAAGATTGAGATTTGCGCATAATTAATGGATAATCCTTAAGATTGCCGTTATTGGTACCATAGAAGGTTAATTAACCTCAAAATAATTGCATGCTTGAGAGCTCGGTTGAGACTCGCATTGGGATCCTTTCAGAGTTTGTTTAAACCTCATATTAAGAATGCTTTAGGATTCGTTTGAGCCCCCCTCGCATTAAGAATGCTTGGGAGTTCGTTTGAGCCTCGCATTAAGAATGCTTGAGAGTTCGTTTGAGCCTCGCATTGAGTTTCTTTAGAGTTCGTTTTAACCTTAAAATACAGATGCATGAAGTGCTCTTTCAAGCTCCGTGCTATTTATAGTGCGCGAGGTGCTCCATTGAGCCACCGCATACATACAAAGGCGTGATGTGCTCCATTGAGCCACTCGCATACAAAGACTTGAAGTGGTCTTTCGAGCTCCACGCTAAAATTCAAGTGAGTTCCTTTTCCGCTCTTAGTGTATACCATAAGTATTGTGTAAGAATTATGGCAGAAACGTTCCTCCGAACCGTGCTCAATTATAGTTTCTTTGAACTCTGTGCCGATAAAAATTCAGAATTTCAGACTGCCAGCTTAACAAAGTATAACCTTAATTCAAGTTGGCGACTTGATTTAAAAAAAAAAAAAAATTAAAATTAAATCATATGGTTTCATTACATTGTTGACAAGTTAAGAAAAAGCTTATCAACGATGAAAGCCAGAAACAAAAATGCGATGGCAAAAATAGCCATTGCAACATTTGCCGCAAAATCACATTCATAAAAGATAATTCCATTTCTCTCTCTTTATTTCTCTTTATTTATTGAAATGTGAAAAATTTGACTTATGAAATTACGTCATAACATTTTGCATCGGCATGTAACCTCTGATAATTGGGTAAAGATTCATTTAATACGTATACAATTTTAGAAAAAAGCATTAATAGTTGTTAATAGTTTCCCAAAGGCGAGCTCTCCAACACAGTAGTGTTGGAACCAGCAGCTTGTTTTTTTTTCAATTAATTCTACACCTGCAATTAATTTGTAAAATGCAGATTTGAGAACTTTGGTGAAATATAAAAATTAGGACTTTGCTCCGTTTAAGACGCTGATGTTTTTTAAGATATCACCTATCTCGTTATGTCTTCATACTTGTAAATATGTGTTAAATTGTAATAGATCATTTTCATAATACGTGAAAACGATTCTAAAATTACCGTATTAAAAGGAGAGAGTAATTAAGTCAAAACTTAAAGAACCAGATTGCTTTTTAGCTGGTTTATAGCTCTGTGACTTTCACATTCCAACGTTATCGCAAATCGAAGCTTCGCACTATTCCATTAATCTTTCAAATCGTAGTGTTTAATCAATCATAGGTATAATTGAATTAAATGAAAGACAGTTGTGTGCAAATGCCCAATGTATGATTCTAAGAACTGTCGCTTCCGTCACGTTGCGTCAAGGAGCAAGTTATTGAAAGCTAGCACAAGAAAAATCAAAGCACCTTCAATATCTTAGCATGCAACACGCACACACACTGAGTACGCTTAGTTGCAACAAGGTGTTATTATGAGCGTGTCGTATTGTTGAGTTATATTATCTGAGGCTCTCTCGTTCTATTTCTCCTCTTGAATGAAAAAGTTACCATTTTTAGTGCTTGCCGTGCTAAGGAAGAACGCCGTATGAACATTCGAGAGTTGCCAAATTTCCTTCGATAAAATGTTTATTTTTGCGGTAGGTTATGAATATTTCTCCTTGAAATTTTCCGGAACTTCAGACAAAATTGCGAACAAAATTATCTGAAAAATTGGGAGGAAAATATTCATAAGTTAACCAAGAAATTCGTGTTTTATCAAATGAAATTTGGCAACGCCTAAAGGTTCATACGGCGCTTTTCCTTAGCACGGCAGAACGAGTGTTACATCTGGAAGTCGCCGTCTCTGAGCCCGAAAAGAACGTAATCGTAATGTATATAGCCCGTGCAGCTTTCACAGCCGGAATTTCTTTGAAGTGCAAATATCGGATCATTTCTCATCCTACGTAGAAATAAGACAATTTTTATGTTTCCAACTATAAGAAAAAGCTTTATTTCGGGAACTAGGGGAAGACTGTGGTTTTATAGAGGACATGCGGGCCAAATTGCTGCCGTTTCGGGGTGAAATATTTTGTTGAGGCTCGTATCGTCGAGTGAGGTGTCCCTGCTTGGGTTTTTTGGGTCGTAAATTCCACAAATGAGGTCCAAATACCCAAACAGGCCCAAAAAAGTTCTGTAAGAACCAAAATGGTGGCCAACATGGCTGCCGCTCAGATAGTGAGAACGGTAGAGAAGTTACCTTTCATACAATGATGAATTTTCTTGTATGTTTTGTTCTCCGCTGATTCCGGATGTAGTCCAGAATGTCAAGAAAATAAGTGAAGTGGATACGTATACCACGAAATTTGCAACGCTTATGAGCTTTCGCAACCCACACTTCCTTTTGGAGAAAATGTACGACTTACTCATACTCAAAAAATTTTGCAGTCATGGACACGGCAAAAAAGTAGAATGTTTGGAGGAAAATCCTGCGACTCAGCATGGAATTGTCTGTTTACTGATTGCAGGAATGCTTCACGTCTCTTGAAAATTCCATACACTGTGTATTTTGAATGAAATTTATGCAAATTCATCACACGGAACAAAATCTTTGATGTTTATGGGTAGATGTTATTGTCCATGGGTACGACAAATCTTCTCTTTTGCAAAACGCAAATGTTATTTTTCCGTTTTTTGCTCAAAAATAGGGTAAACATTTTTCGGTGCATATGATAGGGTGGACACCTACCTTGTACTTTTGGCTGCTTAAACCAGTTTTGGTTTACCTTATTGTTCTCTAACATTAAGAATGTTGCAGGAGTCGAAATGTCCGACAAATGCGTTTAGGGGGAGGAGGATACACTTTTGGAAAATTTAATTTCTCCTCGAAGTGCTACGGATACTGCGCACAGGGATTGGCTGATGGTGGACTTTTTGTATTGATTTATCTTAAACCTCAATTTATTTTAAAATTGTGGTGAGAATCCTGCTCTTCAAAGTTGGAATCCCTCTTCGTCCGCTGAACTCCCAAGGGTGGCCGAGGGGGCTTTGGGATGACGAAAGCTGCACTCCTCGGGTCAGCTCTCTATTTGTCCTCGTGGTCCTGGACTGTGTCCGGCCTAAAATAACCCAAGCAGAAAAAATTCTGACACGTGAAGCTCAGGACATCCTGTACATCCGACTGTCAAAGCCGGAAATGGTATCCATTTTCTCCTATCATGCTGCAATTTTCTAGAAAATCTTCATTCGATAGGGAAAAGAGGATATCTTTACCCTGGTAAAAATTGGCTTTAGGATCTATGTTCCTAAATGCCATAGACCTATAGCCAGCTATAAGATTTCTTATAGCATCTATTGACGGCTATGCGCAGTTTCTTACAGTATAATTTCTTTCTATTTCTTACAGATAAAGTTATTAGGCAATAAACTATTTAGCACGGCTGTTTGATTCCCTTCGCTTTCTAAAACCAACTATACGAATGCTATCGCTTTTTGTAACCGGATGTAAGAATTTCTATGGAAATTTGAACATCGGGCTCCTATTGCCAATTTCAGCAGGGTATCCGGGCTCAGCCCTAAGATTCCTCCTAGAGTAACTATATGAGATCCTTGCCTCATACTCAGCAATACGTCTGTGTAATTGAGGAGCTTTCCGAAAAAAGAGCACATATGTATATCGAAGTAAGAACTTCTATATAATATTTACAAGTCATGGTGGCAACTTGTATCACGAACGTTCACACGGGATGACACATGCCACCTGATTATACGATTTTTTTTTTTTTTTTTTTTTTTTTTTTTTTTTTTTTTTTTTTTTTTTTTTTTTTTTTTTATTCCCACAATAGAAATTTTGTACAATAAAGACTTTTAGACTTCATATAAGTCTTTTAAAAGCTTGTCTTAATTGTCTAAATAATATTAAACTAATTCTAGATACATTTTGTAAAAAGTACTACCTTTATAATATTAAGGAGAAAGAATGAAGACAGATTTACTTCAAAGTAAAAAGGCCTTATCAATTTATCTGTGTAGAATTGGGCGACCGGACTCGGTCAAAGCCCGAAAAACCTCCGATTACGTCTTAAGAGCGTAGGGAGGCACGTGTGGTTTAACTAATTAAGGAAATTTTGAGAAGCCCTGGATTCCAAGCTCATAGGGCTTGCGACGTCTTAATCTTCGACCACATCGGTCCCATTCCAAGAGCTCAAGAGCTTCAGGGTTGGGGTGTCGGTGTAGACGAAATTCGTATGCAGTGTACATCTTTGTGATGTAGTCCTCCACTGAATCAATGTTGAG